GTCTATTACGTATATGCAGTTCATGATAGGAGTAACTACAAACATTTTGAATACTGGTTCTCTTATTATTTAGGCTACACAATGTCTTACACCAGTACTTGTACCATTACCTATTTTACACCAACTAAGCAACAATTTAAATGTTGGAGGGGGGGTCCTAAATTTGTAAATGAAGGTGGGGGCATCTTCAAAATAAAGGTCTTGCGATATTGGGGCAGCTCTAAAAAATGTTCAATATTTGGTATCTATCACCCACCGCCCGCCCCCCCCCCACCCCCGCTGCCCCCCATTAGTCCCCTATGGCCTATGAAAGGTTTTTATCCAGTATTAAGATTTACTATATAATTATAAAGCACATACTATTTTATTATATGAATGTAGTACTGCAGTAAATCGATAAAGGTTTTATGTATGCATAATTTGGATCTTTCATATTAAAATATTGCACACACGGTATTCGTATGAATATTTATAAGACAAATTTACATATTGAAATTAGTTCACTTACCAAAAAGTGCATTTGATTTGATACATCTCCAACCACTACTTGTTTAATTTTATTTTGTACTCTTCAAATTTATCAAGCATTTCTGCTTGTGAAGCGCAAACAAGCACTCGGTCACTCTTCGATGGAAGCCATATTGCTTTGGTTTCACGCGTTTTTTCCAATTTCGCGCACTAATTTATTTGAATTTTAAAAATGGAATACTGCTGACTTGTATGCATTGTAGTTTCAGATTTGTACGTATCTTGTCTATGATATAGTGCCGACCGCTTTCGATCTGTAAGCCTGCACGGATCTTCACCAGTGACAGTGTATTAAATTATTATAGCACCAATGAATGGACTTGGGTTGAAAGCTTCGCCAAAGCTCAGACAGAGAAATGAACGTGTCCACAAAACAAAACAATTATATTTATTTTTACCATGCGAGCCTACAAGGTCAAGGATCTTATTGTTATAACAATGGTATCAAAATAACGAAATATCTTTAAAAAGCACAATTAATATATACACTAATTATTGGGAAAAAACTGGAAAAAACCACAAAATGCTTGAGAACGACTATCTTTCTATCCCAGTCCAAATTACGGCAAATAAAAAATGTTGAAAGTTCTTTAAATCTTTCTTTATCTTTGGCGTAATTGCCTCTATACAAAGTCTTTTCTTCTGTGATATTTGTCCATGGGCAGGGCCATGAAAACAGGAGAGTTTACTGCAATGGCAACGAAATTTAAGTTAGCATTTTAGGCAGAAAGAACATGTTAAACTGTAAAATAAGTTCACTGGCCAACTTTTCTATCAGTTATCGTTTTTCGTTCTCGAGATATATTTTAGTTTCATTTGATATGTATAAATGAAATAAATCTATGGCTATGGCATTATACAAGCGAGTTAAATATTAGTTTCAAAGGTATAGCAGACTCGTCAAAGGTTTAAAAATGATGAAATAATTCAAACTATATGTATTGACTATTGTTGATTCTTTTCACCAACGGCAACGTGTACAGAAAGTTATGCAGCAAGCATGCAGCGCTCTTGGTTTATAAAGTTGGTTTAGTTAAAGTTTCCTCCTGTATAGCTGCATCGTAACACACTCGACCAATGAAGGATACTGAGTTCGTACTGGACTTTTATAGGGAGAATTGAAGAGTTCAGAATTGACAATATACAAGCTAAAGTTTCCTATATATATAGCTTCTGTATACTTACATAATAAAAGGCTTAAGTATTTTGTTATAATAAACGCCTGAAGTATTTTGTTTTTAATTCTCTTTGTTCAGAAATGAAGGGCGGAAAAACATTTCAATTCCCACAGACAGAATGGGGGTCTAATATAGTTTGGCGGTTAGGCGGTTTTGGCGCATTTGAGAGGGCGGTTTTCGGATTATCTCAATTTTCGTGGCGGTTTACAGTGAAGAAGTAATCACTTGGTAATGGAAAATCGTTGAGCATAGACTATATTACATAACTCATAAGCTCCATTTGAAGATTGGCTGCCAATTCACAAAAATAGAATCTAATGAAGCATAGTAAATTTGTCATTGAGTCAGGCTATCTGCTATAGAAAAATGGTCGAAACCTGCATGGGAAGTCCGCGGAACTGGAGTTCGTAAATTATAGAGTTTAATTATCGAAGAGTTTAGAATTGACAATATACAAGCTAAAGTTTCCTATATATAGCTTCTGAATACTTACACTATAATAAAAGGCTTAAGTATTTTTTTCATAATAAACGCCTGAAGTATTTTGTTTTTAATTTTCTTTGTTCAAAAATGAAGTGCGGAAAACATTTCAATTCCTACAGACAGAATGTCTGTACCCCCCCACAAGCTTGTAATAATTGTTAGTTATAGCTACGTGCAGTATTGAAATATCTTTTGAGAGATATTGCATGTGTTGTATTTGGGTCTGGAACTTGCGAGGCGCCCAAAACATGTACATCACATCTCACACCCCATGAACTACAGCTGCCGTTGGCAAGATTCCTGAAAATATACAGTATCATGCATGCAGTTAATTATAAATGTTTCTCACGGAAAATCTGCCATCTTTGTCCTCTAGACTCTAGTCGATCGTTGCCAAGTCCCTGGCCGATAATCTTTTACTGTACAAGAACAATGACGGTTACGGTTTTCACGAAGAAAACACGGGCGATTAACGGTGAAGGAGACAAAAATAGGACGGTTTGCGGAGCGACCAACCCCTATAATAGACTCCCTGTAAAATATGATATTTTCTACTTCTAGATATTTTGTGATTCGTTCGGTCTATTAATTTTCAACAGTATTGTATTGTAATTAGGATATATATCTTTTAGCATGTACATAGTTTATATATCCTTACTTTTATAGTTCGTAGTATATTCCATTCTACTACATATTCAGTTCTATTATTCAGTCCTTCATACACATATTTTGTAATTAGTAGGCGAAGAGCCACCCTGTGGATAAATTACTATAAAGCCATTACTATTATATTCCTACCATCAATATTCATATTCACACTACTTCAAAACCAGTAATCAGTATTCAGTATTAGACACACGCAGCTATACTTATAATCACGCGAAAGAAGTATACTACTCAGGGGCAGGGCATTTTTTAAGAATTTACAACTACTGGGGCTTAGTCTCATTAAGGGCTTTTTGCCCACACAGTTGATACAGGTACATAAAAACAACTCTGTGCTCAGGGGCAGCGCCAGCGCTGTTTGAATAGGAGGTGGGTAGGTGTAAGTGAAATATTGCCTACCAATTTCAAACACTAATTAGTATTTCTTTTCATCCAACTGGGATTAGATAATTTGCCGACTACCTGACGATTGCATGGGGTGTTCCACACCCACAACCCACTTTTAGTTCCGCCCCTGCCTGTGCTGACTTTTATAAGAGGGATTGTCGAGAATGTGAGAGGATATGAGAAAGCAGGCAGATACAGCTTTTTCAACAAGGTTAACCTTTTACTAATGATCAAAAGGGCCCAGCTCATCTGAAAATCACGCTTCACTACTGGGGCAAGCAAAGGGCCGACTGGGGCAAATGCCCCAGTAGTTTATATATAGTTAATAAATGCCCTGATACACTGGTACTGTTACGTGCAAGTATTAACCATTTCGCACCTTATTCAAATCTTGAAAGAGATATTCTTACTACATGACCAAGATACCAAAGATTAACGACCAGATTTCAAACGCCCAGATCTCGACCATCAGCTCATCACGGCTCGTCAAGGAAAAGGACTTGTGACTCTCGTGACACACAATACATATCGTATCCGACCCAACCCCAATCTCATTCCCAGGATCCCCCAGGCATTTGCTGGAACCGGAACTATATCAGTGACCGGAACTCAGTCAATCCCAAACCTACGAACGGGCATGCTCTTGGGAACGAGACCGGAATCATCACGAAGAAGACCCTGACGAGTTGTGGAAGCATTGGAACCACATATATCTCATGCGAGATATCTATGAGTGTAGGCACATATAGCATATAGGGCTGGAACCTTTTCAGATTAGGATTAGCCACTGAGCTGGGATTAGGATTAATGAGAATTCAGGTTTAGGTTACGAATAGAGTAAGAATTGTAAATATACAAAACATGGGTTACATATTTTAATATACAAAAGATGGGTTACTGTAAAGGCGGGGTCTATTATAGTTTGGCGGTTAGGCGGTTTTGGCGCATTTGAGAGGGCGGTTTTCGGATTATCTCAATTTTCGTGGAGGTTTACGGTGAAGAAGTAATCACTCGGTAATGGAAAATCGTTGAGCATAGACTATATTACATAACTCATAAGCTCCATTTGAAGATTGGCTGCCAATTCACAAAAATAAAATCTAATGAAGCATAGTAAATTTGTCATTGAGTCAGGC